CGCAATGCGTAAAAAGACAGTATAAGTCATTATAATCCTTAATTATGTCCCCACTGGATGCAACAAATGCCTCGTTTATAAAGGGTTTTAATGTTTTTGCCTCGTCGCTCTGGCCGGACAGAGCATCATCACAACATGGTAAGGGGCGTAATATTTCTGTCACACGCTTGAGGTATTCGGCCAATCACAACGCACTGGATAGCTGGCCAATCAGAGCACACCTCACTTTCAGATCGATGAGCTTTGTAAAAATCGACGCGTTTCAGAAAGGCGGGGCATAGAGGAGAAACAATAATGTACAGTATGTGGAAAATAGTGTTTTTTTAACCTTAAACCGCATAAACACATTTCATTACACCAAATACACAAAATAATGTTCTTTTTAGCAACATCATATGACCCCTTTAAACTTTTATTCTTTGTGGCCTTGTAATTGTTAAAACTGACAAAATTAATGATTATAAGGTCAATTAAGTTCAGTTAATCTATCAAATTGATTCACGTAGTGAATTTAAATTGGTTAAAAAGCCTCAAAGGCATTTTATAAAGCCTAGTTTTGGACTTGGGACATATTTTTCTTGACCAAACTTGCATATTTCAACTGGTTGTATTGGTGTCAATGGACTTTTGTTTCTAATGAAGACAGAAGTAATCAAGGATGATGTATTTGGCTATTAAAGTAATGAAGTTGCTGCTGTAATTGCTTTTACAGTCTAGGGTCAAAAGAGTAGGCCTACATAACCCAAAATGCACCTCTGCACATAACCAATCTCTTTCTGACTTTAATCAGTCATGAACAGAGAGGAGCTTTGTGCTGGCTGTTATTAGACAAAGGCTGTTTTCATTGCTTAAAGACTACTTTGTTCATGAGTTAGTGATTAAAGGAATAGATCACTGTCATAATTGCCCACATGGGTTCCCCTAAGAGCCCACAATTGACCTTTAAAAACAAAACACTTTTCTCAGTTTTTCAATATGTAATAAAAGAGAATCGTATATACTGTAGATAACCTCATAAAATATAGGTTTCTTAAGCACCAAATCAGCATTAGAATCATTTCTGATGGAAACAGCTGATACAACTGATGCATTTTGATAGCTTTGCCATTACAGAAGAAATAAGTAAATAAAAATTTAAAATATATTAATACACTATTACTGTTTTTGCTGTATTTTTAATTTACCAAATACATTCTAATCAATAAAATTTTTTCACAATATTTAGTCAGAATTCACTAATCTATTCATCAAAGAAACCTGAAAAAATTCCACACCGCTGTTTTCAACATAATAATAACAATACATTTTTTTTAGCAGCAAATCAGAATATTAGAATGATTTCTGAAGGGTCATGTGACTGGAGTAATGATGCTAAAAATTCAGCTTTGATCACAGCAATCAATTACATTTTAAATATATTCAAATAGAAAGCAGTTATTTTAAATAGTGAAAATATTTCACAATATTCCTACTTTTGCTGTATT